AATAAGTTTTTATTGTTCATATTATTACAAATGTTCCTTTCCCCACCACCACCACCATTGCTCTCCTCCACCAGGTTCCCACCCAACCCTCTGCCCTTTCCCCACTCCCCATTGTCCTCATCCATAGGTGCACATTTTATGTTCAGTCTCTTCCCACATCCCCCTCTCCCCTTTTCCCCAAGAATTGTCAGTTCACTCCCCTTCCATACCTCTGATTCTATTATATTCAACAGTTAATATTGTTCATCAGATATTTTAAAAATTTCCTTGGTTTTTAGATTCACTTGTTGATAGTTATGTATTTGTTGTTCATAATTTTTATCTTTATTTTCTTTCTCTTCTGAAAGAACCCCCTTCAGCAATTCATATAATTCTGGTTTGGTGTTGATGAACTCCTTTAGCTTTTTTTTTATTAGTGAAGCTCTTTATCTGACCTTCGATTCTGAGTGATAGCTTTGCTGGATAGATTATCTTTGGCTGTAGGTTCTTACTATTCATCACCTTGAATATTTCTTGCCATTCCCGTCTGGCCTGCATGGTTTCTGTTGAGAAGTCAGCTGACAATCGTATAGGTGCTCCTTTATAGGTAACTACCTGCTTTGCTCTTGCTGTTTTAATATTCTCTCTTTGTCCTTTGCTCTTGGAATTTTATTTTATTTTAAATATATTTTATTGATTTTGTACAGAGAGGAAGGGAGAGAGAGAGAGAGTGTCAGAAACATCGATGAGAGAGAGTCATTGATCAGCTGCCTCTTGCACACCCCCTACTGGGGATATGCCCGCAACCAGGATACATGCCTTTGACCGGAATCGAACCCGGGACCTTTCAGTCCCCAAGCCGACGCTCTATCCATTGAGCCAAACCGGACCCGGCTGCTCTTGGAATTTTAATTATGATGTGTCTTGGTGTGGTCCTCTTTGGGTTCCTTTTGTTTGGAGTTCTGTGCGCTTCCTGGACCTGTAAGTCTAATTCTTTCATCAGGTGGGGGAAGTTTTCTGTCACTATTTCTTTCAGTATGTTTTTGATATCTTGCTCTCTCTCATCTTCTGGGACCCCCATAATTCTGATGTTGGTTCGCTTGAAGTTGTCCCAGAGGTTTCTTACATTATCTTCAATTTTCTGGATTCTCTTGCCTTCTAGCTTCTGCGGAGGAGTGTCTTCTGGCTCTTTATGTTCCAAATCTTTGACTTGATTCTTGCAATCTTCCACTCTGTTTTTAGGACTCCGTATAATATTTTTTTATTTCAGACAATGTATTCTTTATTTTTTGTTGATCCCTAATCATTTCTTGTTGACTCCTTATTAATTCTAATTGATCTCTTTTCATATCCTCATAGGTCTTATCCATCTTTTCTAGGAAATTCTTAAAAAACCTTATAAGCGTAGATTTGAACTCTATATCCAGACACTTTTTGTCCTCCATTTCTTTCGTTTGTGATCTATTTCGTTGTCGCATTTTGCAGTTACAGATGGGGCGGAGTTTCAGGGTGGAGCCTACAGCCTTGGCTTCCGTCAGCCCCGCCCTATTTGGGTCCTTCAGTACTAGCTGCAAAGCACCTCTGAGAGATAGGTGCCCTCGATTTTCGCCTGCTGCCAAACAGTCTATGCTCTCCCCCAATGAGCCCGGTATTGGGGTTCAGTTCAGTTGGAAGTGGAGTTGGAGGTGGCGTTCAGAGCAGTCTGGTGCCCCTGTCTCCTTCCGGCCAGGGCAATCCCGCGGCACAGCCGGCTGTCCCTTCTCTGCGCGCACTGTGCGCACCGCCAGGACCTCCTTTCGCCGCTTCCCCGGGTTCCGCCTTTCAGCCTAGCTCCCTCTGGATGAGCCTGGGTCCCCGGGGTCTGGCCTAGGACTGGGGTTCAGAGCAGTCAGAACTGGGGCCCAACACAGTCGGAGTTTTATCTCCTTCCTGCTAGGGGACGCCAGCCAGGCACTCGGCCGCCCTCCTCTCCAGCTCCGTCCTCTCCACGCGCGTGTCTCCGTACCTTGGGTTTTTACAGTTCCTCTGCGCTTCCTTCTGGTTTTCTCCTTGCTTCTCATTGTAGAATTTTCAGTCAGTTGACTTTCCTGTAGTTCTGGGTAATGTCCATTTTATATTTTAGTTGTATTTTATTGAAATTGTGTGCGGCTGCAGCTAGGTGTTTACCTGGGTGCAGCCATCTTGGATCCCCCTCCATGTTTTCTTTTCCACACTAAGCATGCAAATACTTACATAATCAAAACAAGAAAGCCTTTTCTATTTCAGAGAAAGATCTGGAGCCTCAGATTTCCAGGTTGAGGAGTAAGTAGAGAGCGTGGGAGCAGGTCCAAACCCGTGGAAAGGAGAACCCACAGGTTCCTGGATACGGCCCGGCCCACCTGCTCTAGCTTCTCCCTGGCCCCGGATCCCCGCTGCCCCAGAGACGAAGCTGCTGGTGGGAGAGCGCAGGGCTCCCTGAGGCCAGAGTTACCGCCTGCGAATCCTGTACGCCAACTCGGGCCGATCCTCGGAGTATACAATTAGTTAAATTGTATACTTAACTAATAGCACTATTAACTAGTGCTAATTGTATACTTAACTAGAATTTTTGGAAGCATATAGGTAAAATTGTATCACTAGTTAAGTATACAATTTTACCTATATGTTCCCAAAAATTCTAGTTTAGCACTTAGTTGGGATACAGGAATCTGTAGTTTAACAATTCCACCAGGTGATTCTTTGGGAAAAGTTTGGGAAACACTGGCCTAGAGGACTACCCGAGTCTAGACGCAGAGCGCATCCCTTGGGCTTGGGTGTCGATGCGCGAGGTAACTCTCTCCGTTCATTGGCCGTTGGTCAAGGCCAATAGACTCACTGACCAACGGCCTTGTGGGGGATGTAGTTCCCAGTACTTAGAGCTGCGCGTGCGCTGTGCCGTTTCCCGGCGAGCTCCGCGCGGACTTCCGGTGCCAGAATCCTGCGTACCTGGGAACGCGGGGCGGCTGTGGGAGGTGTGGCCCCGGGGCGGGACGCGCGACCCGTGCTGCTGGGCTGGCAGGTGGAGCTCGGGTCTCCCCGCGGGTGGGGCAGAAGCCGAAGGGGGCGTGCACCTCTGAGAAGGGCTGGGGGGGGGGGGGGGACCCGGGCGCCCGCCCCCACTGCCCGCCCCGCCGCCTCGCAGCTCCGCGCAGGCGAGGCTGCCGGGGATCGAGCGCGGGACTCCGGCGGCCCGCGTTCCCGCCTGCCGCGTCCTGCCGAGCCACCCTGGTGAGTCCCTCGCCCTCTCCGAGCGGAGCCTCCTCCTCGGTCACTGGAGGACGGGACGGAGCGCGTGCCTGTCAGGGGAGATGTGAGAAGTACAAGAGTAACGCGCTTGCCCTGCCGGAGTGCTCGGTTGGTTTGGTTGGCGTCCCCCTGATACGCCAACGTTGCGGGTTTGATCCCGGGTCAGGTCACAGTCAAGCAACCAATGAATGCATAAACAGGTGGAACAACACACCCATGGTTCTCTCTCTTCCATCCTCTCTAATAAATAAATAAAAATTTTAAAAAGACAGAATAAAGTACTCAGTGTGCAGTAGAGAAAAGAACGAATCACCCTGAATGCCTCCCTGGGGTAAGCGTTCAGAAACGGGAGAACATCCATACCTCCAAATCTTCCCGAGTGCGAGTGAAGAAGTGGAAAAGCGTATTACAAAATAGTCTGTGCAATAAGACCTCAGTATGTGAAAACATACACACACACACACACAACACTTTCCGTTTCTAGAAGTACATTTTTAGTAAATGTATTAGTACTTTAGGGAAAGGTCTGGGAGGTTATAAGTGACTTAATGGGAGGATGCGCTGCGTTGTCGAATGGAGAGTTTCTCTTTTATGTATTCTGTATGGTTAACCCTTTCCCCCTTTCATTACAATGGTTGGTATCACTTCTTTATTGAAACAAAAAAGCTAAGTTCTAAAATACACTCTTTCAAGATTTGTATGGCAATGTAAGGCATAACATGTCATACATTCATACATACCTGTGGATTAATGGCTTAGGTCCACTTTGTTTCTCAAAGTGTGGTATACGTACCCCCAGGGGTTCGGGAAGAGTCTGGTGGGGGTACGCATTGCACCGGAGTTTGGTGGGGATTTGCACTGCACCGTGCTTAGCTGCACCTAATTCTACGTTCTCATGAGTACAAGGGGTACTCAGCGTTACGAAAATTATAGAAGGGGTACACATATGTCAAAAGTTTGGGAAACACTGGCTTAGAATGATGTCTGTGAGCCCATCGCTGACACCCCTGGACCAGACGATGTTTGGAATTCAGAAGATTTAAATTTCAGAAAGATAATACAGTACAGGTAGCATATCAAGTAACGCCTGCCAGCAGAATCTAGGGCAACACTCAATCAAACCTATTAAATTAAAAAAATATATATTTTATTGATATTTTACAGAGAGGAAGGGGGAGGGATAGAGAAACATCGATCAGCTGCCTACTGCACACCCCATACTGGGGATGTACCCTTGTCTGGTCCTGAACCTGGGACCTTTCAGTCCACAGGCCAAAGCTCTATCCACTGAGCCAAACCTGTTATGGCTGTTAAATTTTATTTTTTATTGAACCATAATACACATACAGAAATACACATTCTAAGAACAGTTTGATGGATTTTTACTCAAATACGTGAATATTTCTGCTGTAAAATATATGAACATTTACATTAAGTGGGATAAGTGGAGATTACAAACATGCTCAGATGAAGAGGCCAGATGGTATAAACCTGGGGGTTTGGTCTTCAGAGCTGAGGATAGGGGCTGTAGGCCTATATTGGTAGAGGGAGAGCAAGGCGTTACAGGAGAACCTACAAAAGAATGAGAGCTAAAGTCCCTGGATGCCCCTCCAGACTGGTTTTGCTCATGTGCCTTCTTCCCTCCTGCTGTTTTGCTCTTTCCCTAGGCGCGTGTGTCCAGATGCTGGCCCAGTTGCCACAGGGAGTCCCTCTGGGAGACTGAAGGGCAGGCTCCTGGGTTGAGGCTCACCAGGAGGATGGCAGCCCCCCTGGAGCCTCAGGACCAGGGCCCCGGGGAGGGAGAAGGGCTTCTGATTGTGAAGGTGGAAGATAACTCCTGGGATCAGGATTCCGCCCAGCAAGAGGACAGCAGGGACTCGGAGGCCTGCCGCCAGCGCTTCCGGCAGTTCTGCTACAGGGACTCGGGCGGGCCCCACGAGGCCTTCAGCCAGCTGTGGGAGCTTTGCTGCCGCTGGCTGCGACCTGAACTGCACTCCAAGGAGCAGATCCTGGAGCTGCTGGTGCTGGAGCAGTTCCTGAGCGTGCTGCCCGGGGGTGTCCAGGCCTGGGTGCGAGAGCGGGGCCCTGAGAGTGGCGAGGAAGCTGTTGCCTTGGTGGAGGACCTGCAGAAGCAGCCAGTGAACGCACGGCCGCAAGTGAGGGGCCCTTCCTACATCCAGGGGCGGTGGGGGCGCAGAGCCAGCGAGAACTTCCACAGGAGCATGCCATAACGGGCGTTGCCCAACTGAAAGACACTGTCCATATGAATCTGGTTTCTTTTTTTTAAAAAAAATGCTTTATTGATTTTTCACAGAGAGGAAGAGAGAGGGATAGAGAGTTAGAAACATCGATGAGAGAGAAACATCAATCAGCTGCCTCCTACACCCCCCCACAAGGACATGCCTGCAACGAAGGAACATGCCCTTGACCGGAATCGAAGCTGGGACTTTGCAGTCCGCAGGCCCACACTCTATCCACTGAGCCAAACCGGTTTCGGCTGAATCTGGTTTCTTTTTGATGGCCTTGGAAGCATGTTCCAGAAAGGCAGGTTTTAGCTCCACACGAGCTCTGCAAATGTTTACTCATTTTCTGCTCTGGGCCAGGCCTGGGGATACAGGGATGTGCATAGTGAGAGCACCAGAGGGAGCATGAGAAGGTAGAGCCGCACATATGAACCCCACTGTCTTGTGGGGTGTTGGGCCCTTGACACCGGAAGCATCTGGGGAGGTGCTGAGTAACTGGGGTAAGGGTTTTGTCCTTCACAGGGAGGCTTCCTTCCCCCCGCACCCCCCACACCCCGACTCCTCCTTGCCCCCTAAATGGCTCTGTGATTCCCTCCTTTGGGGCTGGTTCTTGCCTTGTGTTTGATCAGGGAGTGTCCTGGGCGCATGGCACTGCTTGGTATCACATTCTCCTCTGGATCTTCCTGGGCCTGTTTTTTTGGTTGTTTGTTTGTTTTAATATATATTTTATTGATTTTTTACAGAGAGGAAGGGAGAGAGATAGAGAGCTAGAAACGTCGATGAGAGAGATACATCGACCAGCTGCCTCTTGCACACCCCCAACCAGGAATGTGCCCGCAACCAATGTACATGCCCTTGACCGGAATCGAACCCGGGACCTTTCAGTCCGCAGACCGACGCTCTACCGCTGAGCCAAACCGGTTTCGGCGTGGGCCTGTGTTGATGTCTCCCCAGACCCCAGCCTCGTGAGGGACATGTCCTGTGTCTCCTCCCAGGGATTAAACTCTGTCTTCCCTGCCTGGTCTCAGTGCTGATGAGCATGTTGTGGTTCCTGCACAGGATGTGCCCTCAGAGGAGGTGGAACCCAAGGCTGCGGTCCAGGCCAAGGGACCTCCCCCTAAGGCGGGGGCACAAAACCAGCCGCCTGCGCCCTGGGAGCAGCAGGGCCGTGGTGGTGAGTAAGCTCCTTCCCCGGCTTTGCCCTGAGGGTACCAGGAAGGGTACTTGTCCTGTGAAGCTTAGGCGTGTGCGTGCGTGCGTGTGTGTGTATGGGGTTTCATATCTAGCATGAGTTGGCCTCTCTGAAGCTTTCTTCTTTTCTTTCAGCCCAGCTTCCTGCTCTCCCTAAAGAGGGGAGTACTAAACAGAAAACGAATGCCTACTTTGCCTCCGAGATCCGTGTAAGTCACCAGTCCCTTTGTCGCCTCTGAGGCCACTGGCACTGATGACTCTCTGAATGGGCCTCGCCTTCCCAAAGGCTCTCCCGTCCATCCTGCTCCTGCTTGGGCCCATCCCGTTCCCCATCCCAGCCCTCTTCCTCTCCGCTGCCAGGGGAGTCCTGAGCAAGGCATCCCTGAGCGGGATTTCTCGCCTCATTTCAGGGACCTGTGGCATTTGAAGACATCTCCTTCTATTTCTCCCGGGAAGAATGGGGGTCCCTGGACCCTGCTCAGCGGGATCTTTTCTGGGACATAAAGCGGGAAAATTTCCGGAACGTTGCTGTAGGTAAGCAGTAGGTGCAGCCAGGACCCTCGGAGTCCTTGGTTTCTCTGAGCTGGAGGCAGTAGTCTCCTTGGGGGTCCCAGCAGTAGAGAAGGTCCAGGCAGGCTGCATTGCCTGCTGGATTCCTCAGTCTTCCTCCTCACTCCCTTTCAGCTAGCTCCAAAGTGGGCTTTCCAGCCTGTCTTCAAGAGCCCTGGCTGGTTTATTTTTTTGTGTTAATGTTCACTTTGCTTTGCCTTTGAACATGTATTAATATACGGTGGGTGAGCACTCATACGGACATTTTTTCATGTGGGTCTCACCGCCCAGTACATAAAGGTGTTCTTTTTATATAGACAAGGGACCAGAGCCTCAGGTCAATGGACACCAAAGGGACAGAGTCGGGACTCAGTCCAAATGGTGTTCACAGCCCCCCCCCTCCCCCCCCCCCCCGGCGGCCCTGGGGAGAGGCGCTGAAGTGAAAGCACGTGCTGAGCCCCAGGGCCTGGGCCTGGGCAGTCGGGCCACACTCCCTGGACCCTCTCCAGGCCAGGACCTTTCTGAGCTCTGCTTGGGGGTCATCTCACATCATCTACACGACTCGGTGTGGTGGGCTGGGATCCCTCTGGATCCAACTCTGTTTTTGAGTTTAGAAGGCAAGAGCGTGGCCCGGCAGGTGTGGCTCAGTGGTTGAGGGTCCCCCATGCACCAGGAGATCTGGGCTCGATCCTCAGGAGGGGGTGTGCAGGAAGCAGCTTCTCAATGATTCTCTCATCATTGATGTCTCTCTCTCTCTCTCTCTCTCTCTCTCTCTCTCTCTCTCTCTCTCTCTCTTTCTCTCTCTCCCGCTTTCCCTCTCTACCTCCCTCCCTTTCTCTCTTTCTCTCTGAAACCAATTAAAAAAGTGTTGTTGTTTTTTTTTAAGTTTATAAAAAAAGAAGATAAGGGCTTGTGTAGTGAGAGGAACATGGTAGCTGAGCCCCTGTGAGTCCTGTTTCTGATAATGATTAGCGAGAGTTGGGATCATGGACAAACTTTGCCTTAATCGCTTAAGTTTTGAGGTTTGAATTACTAGGGTTTGGAGAGAGGGGAGTTGGATCCTATTAGGTGAGGGAAGCATAGTTCGGTTAGGTGGATAATTAGTGCCTCTGGGGCAGGATCAGCAGACTCCTTGCCTCTGCCTCTGCCCTCTCTGCCGGCCTTTGTCACGCCCCCATCTTATAGAGGAGGAAACAGGCTCGGGTCTGTCCAGCCCAGGAGTTTCTGAACCTGCCAGCCAAGGCGCTTGCCACTGAGCCCTGTTTCTGCCTTGCCTCAGCTCCGAGCCCAGACCAACTGGGACTAAAGAGCCCACCTCCTCCTCTTGCAGGTTTGGGGCTCAAGAGCCAAAGGGGGCGATCCCCGCTGGAGGAGGCAGTGAGGGCGCTCCCAGGCCAGGCGGGCAGCGATGTGACTGTGGCCTGGAGCCCAAAGGAGGCCGAACCCTGGGAGAGTGAGGCCGGGCCAGGGGCGCTCTTGGAGCCAGCATTGGGGGCGCGGCGGGGGCGGCCGCCCCCCCTGCAGGCGCCCGTTCGGGGACCTGGCAGCCGAGAAGCCCCACAGCTGCGGCCAGTGCGGCAAGCGCTTCCGCTGGGGCTCAGACCTGGCGCGCCACCAGCGCACGCACACGGGCGAGAAGCCGCACAAGTGCCCGGAGTGCGAGAAGCGCTTTCGCAGCTCCTCGGACCTGGTGCGCCACCGGGGCGTGCACACGGGCCAGAAGCCCTTCTCCTGCTCCGAGTGCGGCAAGAGCTTCAGCCGCAGCGCCAACCTGGCGGACCACCAGCGCATCCACACGGGCGAGAAGCCCTTCAGCTGCAGCGACTGCGGCAAGAGCTTCTCGCTGCGCTCCTACCTGCTGGACCACCGGCGCGTGCACACCGGCGAGCGGCCCTTCCACTGCGGAGCGTGCGACAAGAGCTTCAAGCAGCGCGCCCACCTCATCGCCCACCAGAGCCTGCATGCCAAGATGGCCCAGCCCGTGGGGTGAGGGCTGGAGGGTGTTCTGGGAGACGGAGCAGCAGGATGGCCACCTCTCTCTGCTGCCACCTTCTGCAGCCACAACCCCTACGGCCTTGCCCTGCCCTGCTCTGCCCCAGGGCCTGGTCCACACAACCAAGTGATGGAAATCCCCTATGACCTCGCAGCCATTCTGGGGGTTTCTCCTGCCTCTGGCTTCCGGGAGCCCCACCACATTCCTGGCAGGTGGCCTTAGCGTGGGAGAAAGGGTGAGGCAGCAGGGAAGTGTGAGGATTTGGGCAGGACCCGGGCTCCCCTTGTTCCCTGCCTTCTCGGCTGGGTCCATGGGCCAGGCCCTCTGCCCTGCCTACCTGTGCCTTCCCATAGAGTGGAGGACAGGCTTTGACCACTCGTCAGCCCACATCTGTGAAGCTCGGGGCCCTCCGTGGGGCCAAAAGGGCTTTCTGGCCCCCACTTCTGCCCCGCCCACACTGCCCTGTCCTGACAACATGCTACTGATCTGTGCCAACTTCCCCCTCGAGAGCCATCCTCTGCCGAGGCTAGTGGTAGCTCCAGGGACTGGAGGTCTGTGCAGACCAAGATCAGGGCCAGTGGAAGCCCACTGCTCCCACACTCGCCTCCAGAGACGTGGGGTTTATAGTACTTAACACTAGCACTCTGTCAGCACTTTGTACTGAGTCCTTAGGCACTGCATTCCATGTAGTCTGCATCGTCTGCAGATTGGCATTCACAGGGACACACCACAGGCTTCCAAAGGAGCTCAGCCCAGCCTGCCCCAAAAGGGCAGCAAGAGGGTTTGAATAAACGTGGAAACCTCCTCCGGGCTGTCTGTTCTTGAGGTGGCTGTGGGTAGGGGAGCCTAGAATCTGCATCCCTTGGTCTCCTGACCTGGCAGTCCTACCCGCACACGGTGCTGGGCGGTTACCAGGTGGAGCCACATTGGCCTCCAGGTGAGCTGGGCCCCAAAGGGCGTGTGTGTGGGCATCTTGCATGACTGAGCAGGGTGAGAGGTGGCGGGAGTAGTGCACCTGATGCTGACGGTTGGCTCAGAAGGGAGACACTCGGGTGTAAGCCCTGAGACTCTGGTCCCCCTGTGTGGTCAGTGTCTGTGCCGGTCTGGGGCCAGTTCAGGAAGAGACCGCCAGCTGAACAGGACTTCGGGGTCTTTGCCAGGCCATTCCCTTTCTCCCCATGGAGAAACGAGGAAACAGGCTGGGAGACAGGTTACTGGTCAGGGTGGTGGTGTGCTCCTGCTGGTTCCCGTGTTCAAATCCATTAGGGAGAAGGCCTGGCTTCCATCCCCCACACAGCCCTTGACATCTGGCCACTCGCATGCCCAGACCCTAGGTTGGGGCCTGCCTGTAGCTGCTGGGCTCATGCCGGCTCCTTCCATCCCTGCTGCACCCTTCCCAGTTCACCAGGGGTGGCCTCAGCAGGCTCACTTGAGGAGAGGTGGGGCTGGCTGAGATGAGATGTTCCGTTCCGTTCCTTGGTCTGTGTGCCCCCAGGGCCTTTCCTCAGCCAGTCAGTATATTTTACTGACTTCAGAGAGAAAGAGAGAGAGAGAGAAACATCAATGATGAGAGAGAATCATTGGTAGGCTGTCTCCTACACACCCCACACTGGGGACCAAGCCCACAACCCGGGCATGTGCCCTGTCTGAGAATCGAACCGTGACCTCCTGGTTCAGAGATCACTCAATGCTCAACCACTGATCTGGGACAGACCCCACTTCCCAGATGAAGCAACTGGGGTCTCACCTTGGACAGCTGACTTCAGTTGGGGGTTCTACCTCTGAGACAGTGCCCCTCACTCTCTGTACTTTAGTGCTTGAGGCTGCTGTGTGCATGTGTGTGGGCATCTTGCATGAGTGAGCAGGGTGAGAGGTGGCAGGAGTAGAGCACCTGATGTTGATGGTTGGCTCAGAAGGGAGACACTCGGGTGTAACAAAATCAGATAAGAGGTGGCCCAGGAGCTAAGAATAGGATTGGGCACAGGCTCCTGGCTTGGGCAGGGGCATGTCAGTGCCAGCCAGGAAGTAGCCTGCGATACCCAAGGAACGGAGCAAGGAATGGGGCCCAGGATCCAAGGTTCCAAGGGCGGGGACAGAGTCCGGCTCAGCTCATAAACAGCTGATAGGTCAGGGACCAGGGAGAGGGCAAGTACTGAGACCCAAGGCATTGGTGCTGGAGCCAGGAGGTGAGCTCTGGGCTCAGAGGAAGTGCCCACCTGGCATCCATGGCCTTCCTGGTGTCTGGGACCCTGCGGATGGCCGCTCAGATAGCAGATGCTCAAGACAGCCTGGGAAGAAAGGTATTGGGAGGCACTGCCTGGCCCTACTCGCTCCTGGCTCCCAGCTGAGCCCCACCCTGCCCAACTCTGGCCTTCCCTTCCCAGGGGAAGTACAGCGTGCAGGGTCCAAGGGTGGCCTTGACGCTCAGCAGCCCCGAGGTGTCGGTCTCTACAGTGGCTCTCCTGGAGAGGGTGCTCCAGGCCCTGGACTTTGAGAGCCAGAGGAGGGAGGCCTCGGTCCAGGTGAGCCCTGCCCTGCCTGCTGCTTCCACCCTCAGCCCCACCCGGGGCCTCCCCAGACCCAGGCCTCCCTCTTCCTCCTGCTCTAGGACTTCCTTGAGGAGCTGACTGGGTTCTGGGAGCAGCTGGATGCCCACAGGGCCCCTGTGGGCTGTGTCCTAGTGGCCTTGGTGGCCCCCCGTGGGCAGCTGAGGCAGCCACAGAAGTTGGTTCGGGAGCTGAGTGGCTGTGAGGCCCTGCGGGGCTGCCCCAAAGTCTTCCTGCTGCTCTCAAGTGCTCCTGGGGGTGAGTGGCGGGGCAGGGACCCCTATTGTGGGGCAGAGAAGATGGAGGGTGGGGTTGGACAGGAGGCCAAGACCTTCCCTTCAGGCCAATGTTGTACTTCTCTACCCAGCTTCCCCCAAGCCCGGGACCTTCCTCACTGGCTTGAGTGAACTCTGTGGCCGCTGTCCTCACTGGTCCCTGCTGCAACTGCTGACAGAGGTGGGGGCCCCAGATGGGGAGTCCCAGGGAGGGGGCTGTGCCAGATGCATTCACATGCTTCCCAGCCATTCATTGTACAATACTATTCTACCATTCATTGTCTACACACATGGCAGACATGGCCCCGCCTTTCACCCCCCTGGCTCACACCCACTCCAACATCTTCCCATCCCCACCCCTTTGCTCCAGCTGCTCCCTCTGCTTGCTGTGCCCTGCCTGCTGGCCCGGTAAGCCTCACACAGCCCCAGGCTGCCAGCGATACCCTCTCTCACTCTCCCTGAGTCAACGCTCATACTTCTGCCCACCCCAGTTCACACTCCCCCAGGCAGTGACTATTCCCTCAGACTGTGGGGCCCTGGAAGGCAGGGCTGGGAATGATTCAGTTCTAGTTCCAACACCCAAAGATCCCACTGGATGGTTGGGTGGCCCTGGGTGACCCTGCACATAAGGGGTGCTCCAGCGTGGTGCCTTTTCTCGAAAGGCAGTGGTTAATGGCATGGCCACTGTATGATCCACGTCCAGGGAAGCGTATGACCTTGAGCCTAAATAGAACTCTCCTTGTAGCCCCCCCCCCCCTTTCCATTTGTGTCCTCCTCCCTCTGACTGGCAGAGGAGCCCAAAGAGACGATAGTAGCTATGCGTCTGGTCGAGTCATTCCTTGGAACCAGTTCTCTTGTCACCGTGCCCCCATGGAGCAGCCCCTGAGGACCCTGTGGCTCCATCCCCCCAGGTCTTCCGCAGGACAGCTGGAGAGTCCTCGGGGGCCACCCACTGCCCAGTCCTTCGGAGCTCCTTGCGGGGGGGCGCTGTGCCTGGGGGACGTGGAGCCCTGGGGGCCTGAGGTAAGGAGGCAGGAGGAGTGGCCAGTGGGACAGAGGCTCAGGGGGACACAGGAGTTGGAAGTCCGGTGAGTATGTTCAATGTTCCTCACCTTGTTTATAGCCGGAACCCGGCCCCCGTGCTCAGTATGACCTGTCCAGAGACAGGGCTGCCCTCTTCCTAGCCGTGATCCGGGACCGGCCCGGGGCCCAGCATGATGTGGAGGCACTGGGAGGCCTGTGCCAGACCCTGGGCTTCGAGACCACCCTGAGGACAGACCCCACAGCCCAGGTGAGGGGAAGCCCAGAACCTCTGGTGCTGCTCTAAAGAGAGGCGTACCCCCACCCCCGGACCCTGGGCACCCTCTCCTGGGCCTCTCACCCGCGGTGGGCAGGAAGGGCAGCCCCAAGTCTAGCCCCATCCTCCCTGCTGCATGCACTGGGAATCCCTGTCCCGGAAGCCTGCTCTTCGGGGCTCCTGTGGCTTCCCAGGCTGGCAGTTTCTCTGCTCTGCTGGGCAAGGCCCCAGTTGGTCCCTCAGGTTTTCCCTGGAAGGGTCCCTTCCCAAAACTCACCAGTTCACTGCCCTCCCCTCATGCCTCTTAACTTTTTTGGCACCAGAGACCCAGCTACCGAGCCAACCACATGTCTGTCACCTCCATGCCAGGCTTTGCATGTGTCAGGACTTCCTCCTGATCCTGAGGCTGGCAGGGGAGGGAGGTAGGGTTGGTGGGGCTGAAGGCTTCCAGGTCCTGGGAAGGCAGTGGCCCCGACCCAGGGCTCAATCTCCTTGCACCCCAGGCTTTCCAGGGGGAGCTGGCCCAGTTCCGGGAGCGGCTGGACACCCGCAGGAGCCCCGTGAGCTGTGCCCTTGTGGCCCTGATGGCTCATGGGGGGCCTCAGGGGCAGTTGCTGGGGGCTGATGGGCGAGAAGTGCAGCCAGAGGCACTGGTGCAGGAGCTGAGCCGCTGCAGGGCCCTGCGGGGCCGTCCCAAGATCTTCCTGCTTCAGGCTTGCCGCGGGGGTGAGTGGGTCTGGGGCCCTCCCTGGGGTCAGCCTCCAGCCTGGCTCCTGGCCTAGACTTCTCACCCAGCCCGCCTGCTCCGGAAGCCTGAGCACCAGCCCTTCTCCTGCCCCCTCTCCCAGTGTTTCCTAGAGGTCAAGTCCATGAACTTTGCCCTCAGCATTTTTCTTTTCATATATATATATATATATATATATATATATATATATAATTTTATTTATTTATTTATTTTTAATTTTTTTACAGAGAGGAAGGGAGAGGGATAGAGAGCTAGAAACATCGACCAGCTGCCTCCTGTGCAC